GAAAGAGAGAGATATAGTTCTTGTCCGTGGAACAGAGGCCGGCAATCAGATGGTTCTTGTACGTTTGTATTGCGCGTTCCGCTGCATTGCGGCGGTGTATTCCGGCTGGTGTTGTTTGGAGTGCGACTCCTTGGCTGTCGATATGGTCCTTTAAGAGCTGGGAGCATTCATTGTCGAGTATGTGTAGTTTCGGTCGCAGATTGGCTCGCACCAGGCGATTGTGGACTGCCGTCCAAGCTTTCAAATGTGATTTGGCTGATCTGTTCGGCATCGGTTCTGCATGTATCGAGTTGCTGTCATAGTGGTATAAAATGAACAGGTAGTTGTTGCCGTTGCTGGAGGGGATAAAGAAGCGTCCGGTTTGATCCGAAAAGGATTTTCCTGTCGGTTGGATGGTGGCTGCAAAGCAAGATTCCGTGACTGTGTTTGCATCGTAGGGTTGTTGTTGGGGATATGCGTCTGTATCGTCGACGTGTTCCGGCAGAAGTGGGAGCTGTTCAGGTTCTGTTTTCGTGCTTTGAATGCCTTGTCGCTGTTGGTTGAGGTGTCCTTTTGCAGTGGCGACTGAATTGGGTACGTGTTTGTTAAAAGTGTCTACTGTTAAACCCGGCATGTTAATGATGTACTTCCGTTTAAGGGCCTCACGGAGTGTGGATGGTACCGGAGAGAATAGGGCTGCGTGTGCGAATGCAACGCGTTCTGCAGGTGTTGTTGCTGTTGTTGTTGCAAAAGGTTGGCTTGGTGTTGTATTTGTTTCAGATTGATTTCCCAGAGTGAATTGGTGCTGGGGTTTCGGTGTCCTGTGAGGATGGTGTCACCCATAAAGGTGATGATGCACTCATGAGAGCGAAAGATTGCCTCGCATCCTGCATCGCATAGTTTGCCGATGGACAAGAGTGAGGTGTTGCCCAATGCAGGGAATAAGTGTGCTAAGGTTGCACTTTTTGGAAGATTTGGGAGGTCGAGATGACATGTGTGGGTGGATTCGATAGTTGTGTTATCGGGGAGTGTAACTTTGATTGGTTGTGGGTTTTGCTGTATGTGAATTATGTTTTCATTATTGATGGCGATGAAGTCTGTTGATAAAAAGTGACCTGTGCTGCCGGTGTCTGCTACTATTGGCTTGTTGTTCGGGGGACCGTCGTTTGGTTGTTGTTTAACTTTGTTTTCTAGTTTGGTTGGATTATCCACTATTTGGCTAGATAGTTGTGTTTGTTCCAAGGATGGCTCCCGGCCTTTTCAGCGGCCGCCTGTTGTCTGGTCATTGGGAGGAGTGTTCTCATCTCTGGGGGGATTGCGATTGGGGCGCCTGTAAATGGCACGTTCCCCATTGCGACGCTTGATGATGCAACATCCGCCCATCATGTTGTCCGCGGTTGCTTCTTTGCGGTGACCGGTGACTGGTTTGGTGCAATTATAGCTGGTGTGCGTCATGTTGGGTCCAAGGCCGTGTGACCAGCAATACCACATCGGAACTGGGGTGTTGCCACTTTTGGCTTTGTCGGTTGCTGCGTTGGCGTATCCGACTTCGGCTGCTGTGAGGGTACGACGACGTTCTTTGTCTGCTTTCTTGAAATGAAGCTCTAGCTTCTTCCATGTGTGGTCGGTGTCTTCCTTGTTGTCCCATTCACGGATGGCTTGTGTGAATACGCCGCTGTTGGTCAGGTTGGTGGTTGCTGCGATGATGGTCGTCATTTCGGTGATGGGATCATGATCTTTGGCAAACTGTTTGGCTGCTTCAATCTGCGTGAATAAGTCTTCGATGGGTTGTGTTGGACTCCATTTGGCATTCATTCGATCAATGTTGTCCTTGAGGTCGACGCGATCTACTTTTCCATAGGTTGTGTCTAAGTGCTCGAGGAGTGCTAGAACGCTGACATTAGCATAGCCAAAGAGGTCGTTTTTGAGGGTGTTGGTGAACGTGTCAGGTATGGCTTCCAGGAGCTGCTTCTTGAGGGCTGTACCGACGGCCTTGCAAATGATGAATTGCTCCATGTTTTGAGCAAAAAGCCTGTTGGTTTCGGTGATTTGAGCTGCTGTGGCGGTTGCTCCATGGACTGGGTTAGGCCCGGGGTGGACTGGTTCGACCCAAGCAGTGGCGTTCTCCAATGCATTGAATGTGGCGGTTGGAACGGTGAGAGCGAGATGTCCATAGTGGCCTCCTGCGAGGCGTGAAGTGACGGCCATAGCATTGGCATTAATCTCTTGGTGGATGATCTTGAGGTTGCTGAAGGTTGGCTTCTCCTCTGGTGGAATTGGAGTAAGTTGGGCATGGGAGAAGTAGTCGGTGGCGGTGAAAGATGTCATGGTGGACGATAGTTCGGAGCGAAATGCTTTGACTATTGCTATCGGTGAATACCGGTAGTTCGTCGGTTGTTAGATTGTTAATAACTGTTGACCCAGGCAGGAGCCCAGTAAAGAGTTGTTACTAAAAGTCTGTTATTAACAATTATGAGCTGGAAACTAGCTACTTGTCCCAGCCTGGGGCAGAGCCTGCAGGCATGGGACTGGCTGGATCTACAGCTACAAACTGCCACTGAAAGCCAGGTGGGCTTCAGGGCAGGCTTGCGTGCATCCTAGGAGTGGGACTGATGTGGGAATGGTGCGCTGGGACTGAGAAGGGTTAGGGTACACAGGGCCACATCAACAATATCCTTCCACGAATGATTCAGAGTTCGATAGAACTTTCCAGAATCGAATCAAATCAAAGTGACGGAAACCCACAAGTAGCAAGAGGCAAGAAGCTTGAGAAGTCTGCAAAGTCGAAGGATTCATGACGGTGTCTTCCGAAAGATGAGGGATCCCAGAAATGGAATCGACACTTGGCAGATATAAGAATGAGAAAGAGTTGACATCCCGCTTCTTTGCCAGCGCATCATCATTGCTGTGATATTACATGACTTTTGACGTTTCATAAATTTGCTTCTGCGAAAAGAGAACAGACACACAGAAAACAAGAAATCAAATATCAAGAAGCAACATGAAGTTATCATCGAACCCGTCCATCGCTGTTGCCTTGGCCTTGATGGCCGGTACACCCTTGCATGCCTTCACACCTCGGGCTCCCCTTACTGTCGACACCAGGGCTGGATTGCATGGTTCTATGAAGCAACCATTGGCTGCACCCCTTTGGGACACCGTCCAACCAGACCATGACGACAGCCAAAATCAGAACGAGAAAGGAAAGAGCACGGATCCCACTCCCGCGCTTTTCAACTTTTTCCAAGACTCCAATCAGCGTAATGCAGCTGTGGCAACTGCTGCCTTGGTCACTGCCTTGTCCATGGCACCCATGTCATCTGACGCTGCCATGACGGGAGGCCGCATTGGCGGAGCCTCGTTTTCGTCTCGCCCTGCAATGTCTCGCCCGGCACCCAGTGCTTCAAGGGGATACTACTCGGGGGGATACTACTCGAGACCAACTGTAATCGCTCCCATGCCATTTGTGGCGCCCATTTCACCCTTCTACAGCCCCTACCGCTACGGAGCTCCCGGAGTCATCTCTTATAGTCGAGGTCCGGGAATCCTTCCACTCTTGGTGTTGGGTGGAATGGCCCTTACTGTGAGCAACGCCATTGGCAATACTTTCTCGCGTGGGGCATCATTCTTTGAAGAACGAGAGACGGACAGCGTCTTGGGCGGCGGAACCAGTGTCCTCAAGCTCAGCGTGGCCATCTCTGTGGCCGACCGGGACGATCCCAATTCCATTTTGAAGGTCCTTGAACGCTTAGCAGATACGGCCAAAACCGATAGCAGAGTTGGTATCCAAAACCTATCCAGCCAGATTGCGGTCGAACTGCTTAGGAGAAAAGCATCGGTGGTTGCTGGCGCTACGGACTACCAGCACTACCGCAACCGCGACAAAGCCCAGAGAGCCTTCAACAGCCTTTCTGTCGAAGAGCGAGGTAAGTTTGAACAGGAGACCATTAGCAAGTTTGGAGGTGTGGACTATGCCAGCAACAGTCGCGTCCAAAGCTTTGGCGCAGCAGACGGCAGCAAGGCAACCATGGCAGTGGTAACACTTTGTTTGGCCATTGATGGAGACAAAACCAAGGTGCCAGCAATCCGCAACATGAGGGACATCGAAGAGGCTCTGCGAAAAATTGCATCGGATGCCAAGGTCTCCGACTGCCTACAAGGGGCTGAGATTCTTTGGACGCCCCAGGATAGCTCGGAGTCATTGACGTTCAGAGACGTTGTGGCAGACTACCCAGAGCTGAACAGTGTTTAATCAACAACAGTTGACTGAAAGGAACATGGCCGCATTAGGGGCCAACCACTGGTTAAACAAAGAGAATTGCATTTGCATTTGAAAAGCAATGCCCAGTACATGTAAAGAATAAAGGAATCTCAGATATACTACTCAGTCTTATATATTTGCAGCTATTGTACACATGCATACAAAGTTAGTTGTTCTCTCTTCCCAAGAGGCGCGTGTTGGTGGCGTGTGTCGATGTCACAATTCTCAAACCATTGCCATTCCATGACCAAAAATGTCGGCATTACTGGCGTTGGGGTTGTTGCCTTGCTGCATTTGAAGCAAACATTCCTGGTCTGGAGGAGGCATACCGTGCACGGCCATTGTCGATTGCTGGTGCTGTTGATGATGCCCCTGGATATTGGATTGATCCAAATATGCCTGCTGCTGTGGTTCAAATGGAACAAAATTGGGGGCTACGAAATCGGTGGGGTCATGGTGGTGGTGATGATGATTAAGGTGTCGTACATCCCAGCTAAAGCCCAACGAGTCCAAGAGCTGGACACGTTCGTCTGTCATGCAAGATTTCTTGCCCTTTAATTGCAATCGTCGTTGATGACGCTGAGTATGCACCCATCTTCCCAGCTTTGGGTTCTCAGGACAATGAGTTGGAACAAGACAATCTCCGTGCATAGCCTGTGAACAAAAGCGTCAGGATGACGGAGGACACATACATAAGAAAACAAAAATCAAGTTTCGTGGTACTTGCCTTGTATGCTTTCAATTCCTTCCAATGTTCCATCCATTTGTCGGCATGAACCGTAAAATGAAATCCTAGTTCCTCCAACTGTATCATTCGTTCCCCCACGAGGGGATTGGGTGGGTGGTGGCTGTGATGAGGTGAATGATCAGCCTGTTCTTTCAACATGTGTGCGTGGGTGGTACGCTGTCGATGCACCCACTCTGCAAAACTCGGGTCTTCTGCATACCCATGTGGAACCAAGCAATCTAAACGTCAAGAGAGAAGAGCATGCAGGGATTAGTGGTTCGGTACCATAACAAAATATATGTGTGGGTATATACTCAAAAAGAGGATAATCTCACCTCCGTGTTTCGCTTTGTAGTCCTTGAGCTGCTGCAATCTTGCTTCCCAGTCTTCCTTTTGGTGTTTGGTGCGATCTGTGGACCAGGCAAAGCCAAGTGCCTCCAGCTGTGCTATCCTTTCCGGGGTAAGGCTGCACCGTTTGGTCGGTTTGGAGCCTCCTTGCTCCTGCTTTTGATTTCGGAGGAATAGCTTGTACTGCTCCCTTGTATTGTGTACGAACTTTCCAAGCGACGGGTTTTCCTTGAACCGTATCGGAATGAGCAAATCGCCATGTTCGTCCTTGTAGTCTTGGAGCTGTTGGATGCGCTCTTCCCATGTCAGACGCGGGTGCGTGCAGCGAGATTTCCTGCGACGCTTTCCCTGAGGTTTCTCATCGTGGGAATGATCGTCCAGAGCGGCAGGATGATGATGATGATGATGATGATCTACCGAATCCTCATGGCTTGTCGTCGCTGGACTGTCCGAATGATCACGAGGGTGATAATAGGCCTGTCCTGGATGGTGGCGCTTGTTATTGGCGGAAGCAAGGAGTGGCATGTCGTTGGACAACAGAGCCATTTGATGACTCGACGCATCTTGCGAGATTGCTGCAGTGTCGATTCCTTGCATGTGATTCATTCGACTGGCATGGTTATCATCGCAGATGATGGCCAAAGCATTCAACAAATCTCCTCCACCACTGTCGGCATCGGGGTTCTGGTTGAGGTTCTGATTGAGAAACTCAATGGCGTCGGGTATCCTTGTTTCTTCGCCGCAATCATCTTTGCTTTTCTCGTTTTCGTTCGAAGATGCACTCATCCCGAATATAGAAGTTGAGATATCCATGGTGTGTCAGTATCGTTTCTTGTTCTGCTGCTGTTGGCTGTTGCTCTTGTCGGTTTGCTGTGGTTGGTCGCTACACTTTTGCTTTGCTTCTATCGATCTCTGTGTGGAAGTCAAGTGAAAGATCGATTTGGGCGACCTGTGATGTCAAACCGAATCAAGGCCCGAAACCAGAACTCTGAAACCGAACCTGGTCCCGCCACCTCCCGACTCCTGCACCAAAATTAGGAATGCGACGAGACACCAATTGCTCGTTGAATGGTTTACATTACAATGGGTCCGGGCCGACTGAACGCAGCTACCAAGAGCTTCGCAGCTTCAATTGCCACAGGCTACGAGGCCCACCCATTGCTCTGATCACAGTTATCAAGACTTACCGTATCAGTACGGTAGGAAGCATTGATCTTTGGCAAAAAGCACGCAATCCAAACTCCATCGTTCGGGATCCAACAGTTCTGATGTGGCTGGCTAACACCTCTCCCATTCCTAGCTAGCTAGCTAAAACTAGACGGGATTTATTTTATCTATATCAAATCCTCCATCTACAAGTAAGGTGCCATGAGGGATATCGGTGCCATCGTACGTACGTGACAGAACCACATCCACTACTCACATTTATACTAAAATGTTGTCCATCATTTACCACTCTCTTGCTCTTCTTCCACCTACAGTTCCTTGGCTCCTTCGTTTTGTCTGTGTTTGCTTATTTACTTGGTAACGACAATTTGTCGTGGTCCCGCCATTGGCTCATTGGCTCTGTGGACGGCATAGTCTCCATAAAATGAAAAATCACACGCCCGATAGGTCTGAACAAAATAATTGAGCTTAGTGGATCCATCCTCTTGAATGTCCATGGCAGCCAATGCTTGATCGACATCTTCCTTGGAGGGTTCTACCGACGTCAGACCCGGTAGCGAACCTAAACAAAATGATTTGAGACATTCGTAAACGACAGTTCGGTACATACACACATACGTACAAATACTCTTGTGTGACAATATCGATCGATACAACGAATACAATACAATACATTACATACCTCCAATGGTGACGACGGGAGCGCCTTGTTTTTGAGCCACGGCCACGACGGAACAAGCGGCACCGAAAGCGGTTCGTTCGGCATCGGTTAAAAAGGAGAGTGCTTCTCCCTTTTGACGAAGTGTTTTGGCGGCATCGACAGCCTTGGCAGCTGCCTCCAAGACAGGTGTCACAACCAGTATGGCTCCCGCCACGGCTCCTCCGGCCATTGGCGCGATGCCATACGACGATCCTCCACCAAAACTGTAGGGAAAGGCGCCAGTCTTGGTTGGTGTCGTCTTGTCGGGCATGTCCACCATGGACTTGACAATATGAGGCGGGGAAAAGAAATGTGATTCATCTCCGGAAATGACCCGAGATGTTTGATCCCAGAATTTGTTTCGAAAGGCTTGATATTGTTCGGGTGTGAATAGGGCATCGAGAGCCGCCTTGTCAATCGGAGGTGCTCCCGGTTGGAATTGGCTTAGGTAGGCTTCCATATTTTCTGGAAAGAATTCTCGATCCTTGTCCATGCCGTTGAATTTGAGTTTTTCGGCACCGACAGCAGCGGGTAAATTTTCCGGAAAGGTCTGACAGTAGTCCATCAAGTTGGCCTTGAATTCTTCGAGCATTTCCGCACTACTTGCGGAAGAGGACTCTTCGGTTCCCGTGGCAATGGCCTGGACCAAATCGGCAAAATTCTTTTTGGACAGGGCATACACTTCAGGCACAGCGGTTCCAGGTGCGTCAATGAGTCCCTTGACGGATTCCATGAGGAGCGTGTTGCCGGCATGATCACCACTGACGACTGCTACCACGGCGTGGCCTTGCGCCGACGCCAATTGAGTGGCGGCCATGCCCGATGCTTGACTGGCGCCGTACACCAACACGGTGCCCTTACTACTTCCACTAGCAATAGCTCGAACACCGGCAGCTCCTTGTGCGGCAAATCGCAACAACGCCAAGTACTCCAAGGGAATTGCATCAGCGGCGTTACCCAAATCCCCATACGTGCCATGCACCACACTGCCCGACGCATTGACCGCCACAGAGTCTTGCGTGGACAAGGTTTGTGCTACCGTGTCAATGGCATGTGCTGACGAAACCGGTTGGCGACTCGCCTGGAATTGATTCCACTTTTCGGAGTTGTAAGCAATGGGACCTTCGTCCTCCGTCTCGATGCCACCCACATATGGCAAGTTTGGCAAAATACTCTGAGAGACAGGAGACACCGCTGGCAACTTTTTGAGTGTCGCCAAGCCACGACGACTCGCTGTGGAGAGCAGTTTGCTACGTCCTCCGGAAAACATCATCTTCAATTGCTATAGCTAGAGTTGGCTGATAAAAGACAGAGTGCCGATGTTGATGGATCAACAGCATGAGGGCCTTTGGTAGTATTAGCGGTAGCCCAGTACGGACGCACACACCCCAACCTGTTACACCCGTGTGCAGGAAGGGCACCCGTCAAATCACAGCTTAGCCGGATAAACTCGTCCACATCAGCTTCGCCGGATAAACTCTTGTCGGCGCCAACGGACAAGTGCAAGACGGAGACACAATATGGGCTCTCGAACGATCACAAGTTGGATTGATTACAGCAAAGATCGCTGTTGGCTTGGCTTGAAGGTGTCGTCCATTGTACGACCTTTCAATCAAGTGTTGTCTTGTGTTGTGGGTGAGGAGCTTTTTGCTAGCTACCGGAGCTAGTCTGTTCTCTTTGTTTGGAATCTGGCGTTGGTTGAGAGTCGAAGTGGAGAATAGCGAGCCGCTGAGCAGAAAGGACGATAATATTGTGGATTTGGATTTGTTTCTGCTGTGCTGCGATCGTTGGGAGCTTCTTTCTGGATCCTCAAGACGCAAGGCAAGACGGTTGGGTGATTTGCATTGCCTGAAGGAGCACTTTTGCTTTGTTTGAATGGCTGGGAACACAATTACTTTGTGTAAATTGAATGTTGTATTATTAGACAGCACAGTCATTGAAACTGTCGGCCTCTTTTTCTCTGTTGCAAGCTCGGATACGGCATCTTTTTTGTGACCCCAAGAAGACTCGATCATGTCGTCGACCATCCTGTACAAGTTCCGGTCGGGGACGACCTTTGAAGCCTTGCCGCTGCCTGGATCAGCGGCGCGGCTATTTGATGTCAAGAAGGCCATTGTGACTGCCAAGAAATTGGATGCTGGGACAATGGACTTTGACCTTTCTGTGCGTAACGCGGCGACAAATGAAGAGTACACGGATGAATCCATGTTGCTGCCCCGAGGGACTCGTCTCGTGGTTCAGAGATTGCCCGCTGCTAAAGGACAAGGATTCTTGGCTCGCATGGCTCGCAATCAATACGGAATGCCTCCCAGTGCTCCAAGTGCGCCTGGAAGTGGTGGGGCTCCCAGTGGATTTTACGAAATTGATTCGCGAGCCAGAGATGACGACGAGGAATTTGTTTCGAGTGAAGATCAAGAATTGGCGTTGCTCAACGCGGCCAGAGACACGGCCTCGGCGAATCCAGCTCCCGGTGGGTTGAGACCCGCCACCACTGGCAATTTTGGGCGAACAGCAGGTCAAGGACCTCCACAGCATCACCATCAGCACCAAGGCGGCCAGCAACGTCAAATGAAACAGAGACAAAATGCAGACCCAGAGATCCGGGAACAGGAGAAGAAATTGGTGGGACGAAAGAGGGCCACGGGAATTCCCAGGACCTTTCTGAATCTGAGCGCCCCGCCCACGACGGAAGCCAAGGAGGGCGAAGGAGAAGAGAACAATGCCCCTCTCCTTCAGCCAAACACTCTTGGTTTTGAAGAATTGAAGCAACGAGCTGGAGGTCAATCAGAGAACGCTTCTGGCACCAAAAGGGATTTAGACTACGCGCTAAAAATCACTGCTACTACAGTTCCTGATTATTTGCAATGTGCCCTCTGTCACAGCGTGGCTTTGACCGCCATGTTTTTAACGTGGGACCCTGAAGGACGTACGACCTGCGAAAAATGCATCAGAGATGCGCTGGCTCAAAATGGATTTCGTGACCCGCTCACTGGGATGGAAGGCATTAGTCCCGATGACTTGAGACCAAACCCCGGTATCCGCAAAGCTGCCGAGGCATTCGTCAAGGAAGTTATGGACAAGATTGAAGAAATCGAAAAGCAGCAGGTCGACGAAGACCCTGTTGACAATGGTGTCGATGGTTCAAAGTCCGCAAATCTCCTGGGAGGCGATAGTGCTGGTGACAAAGGAGTAATTATAACCAAACGAAATTCTATCACCAAGCGTAAGAATAAGGATGATGACGATCCTTTTGGTGGAGAGGACGACTTCGGAGGCGACGTCTTTGCAGTTACGGCAGACGACAAGCCCGAGGAAGATGACGGCTTGGGCGGAGCCAACGAGGCACCGAAAGAGAACAGCGCCAAGGAGGACGAAAAGAATCAAGACGCTGGGACACCGTCCAAGGATAGAGCAGGCAGTGCGGAGGACGCCGGAAAATCCAATGATGATGCTAGTAAGGCTAGCCCACATCCTAAGGATGCTGGTTTAGATAAGCAAAGTTTGGAATCCAAATCCTCGTTTGATAATAACAAGGACAAACTGTCATCGCCAGCTCCATCGAATAACCAGCGCAACGACAACGACAACAATCGACGTGATGCTACCGCCAGTGCTACTAAGCGTCGGGGTCCCCCGGCTGGATACCAAATGGGCCCGGCGGGAGGAGCGACAAACCCAACTGCTCAAGGAGGTCCCCGCTACGAAAGATCAGGATCCGTCGATGACAACAATCCGAAAGGCCATGGCGGCAACTCACCATATCCACCGGGAAGAGGTGGACGCTATCAGGAGCGTGGCTCGTATCGTGGTGGACGCGGCGGGAGAGGTGGCAGAGGGCGCCGATATGGGCGAGGTGGAGGAGATTGGGAAGATCGAAAAGATGGTTTCCGCTCTCAGTCCCCAGCTCGATCAGATCGCGCCGATGATGTAAGTTCATACTGGTTGTGCGTGTTGCTTGATATGTTGTTGGTTGTTTTGTGTACATCATTAGGCAAGGCGTATGCGTCAAGCAAAAACGTTGCTAGCCTGCTAGAACGTGCAAATCACACGATTATGCAGCCTTCCATGACACTTCTTATAGTGTTTCAAGGCAGAGACTGGCTTTTGTGTTGTACCAGGCGTAGAATCATGATAGACTCATTAGGCAGTCACTGCACTTAGTTCGTGTATCCTTGAACTATGAATGACCAGTAGACACGCTTGGCTCACTTCTACCTCTTGTTCGTGCGATCCCTCTCTCCTTCTCAGTACTCGAACGCCGGCGACGATGATAGATCCTCGAAGCGTCCCCGCCGTGACTCTGACGACTACGACAAGAACAGCCGAGGAGGCGGCCATCGACACGACTCTTGGGACGACCGGAAGACTGGTGCAGGAAGCGACTACGGAGACCGTGACTACCGACCTCATCATGGCGCTCAGGACCCAGGCTATTACGGAGGTGGACGAGGTGGCGGAGGAGGATATCATGGTACGATTTCTTTCTGCATACGTAGCGTATGGATGCACGAAGTTGTTGGGCTGTGTGGCTCGAGAGGATTGGCTGGTCGAGTTTCTCAATCGTTCTGTTTTCTCACTTTTGCACCTCAGGCGGCGGCGGCTTCAACGATCGAGGAGGCGGGCGAGGCTGGGATCGCGGTGGTGGAAGAGGCTGGGACCGAGGCGGCGGCGGTGGACGAGGCTGGGACCGTGGAGGAGGAAGAGACTTTCGCGGTGGTGGTCGCGGTGGCCGATTTGATCGTGGTGGTCCTCCTCGAGGAGGTGGCTATCGAGGGCGAGGCGGGAGAGGCCGCTTTGGAGGTCGAGGACGCTACTAGACAAGCGCATAACGAAAATCAATCTAGCTAGAACAGACATTGTCAATTCGATGCCGTGGACCAGGCTGTTTGACCATCATATTCTGAGATGGCAAGATGGAAAAACCCTCCCAAAAAAGTTTGACAACGGAGCCGAGGCAATGCATGCTGATGTATCTCCAACCAAACACGAGTAGCTACATGCAAAGCAAACTGTATACACGAATACCATAAAAAAAGAACACCCTTCTGCATTGAACAGGAAAGATAAGAATAACTAATTGATTCATCATCATCATCTTGATGTCTTTAGCACGGCTTTCTGCATGTACATGTATTAGCTTAAGACGATTTTCACCAGCAGTGCCTTTTTTCTTTCTCTGTTTGCAAGTTCAGACCGTGCAAATGTGAAAGCCAACAGCCAGACCATCCTGCGCCGTGTCCCAGCAGAATTACAGGCCGGGTGAACCACGCTTCGCAACCGAAACAAATTTGGTTGGCATGGGTCATCGAGTCATTGAAAAGGTCAATTTTGGGGGGCTCCCCCTTTTCTTTGGGGGAGAACCGGAGTTTTTGACACTGAGCCACCCAGCCGATGTCATCTCCTCCATCGAGCTGTTGTTGCAGTTGTTCTTCTCAGACCCCTTCACGTGTTTCCTTCCCTCAACTGCCATCTTTCTCCTCTGCTCTACTAGTAGTAGAGCTAGCTAGTCGAGGTTGGTTGTATGAGATAGCTTCTGCTTCAGCAGCCTCCACAGACTCGTCTCTGCTTTGCCTCTTGGAGCCTGGCAGTTGAGCTCCCCAGTTTGTGTGACGGCAGGTCTTTCTCGATCAGTTTCCTTTCCGAAGAACATTATACGCAGCAAATCACAGTCCTCGCTTGGTAGACTCTCATTACTGGTAGTATCCTTATTAGAACAGACCTTGGGTTGAGCCAAATAATCAGAGTTGAACCATGGGTTGCAATCAATCAAGCGAGGTGGATGAATACGAGGGGTCCGAGGAAGAATACGGCGGAGGCCAGAAGATCGAGACCCAGGCACCACCTCCCCAATCCGTCGTAAAGAAGAATGATCGTGTGGATGCCATTGACCGTACTCGCACAATCGAAACGGGAGGAATACGGATGCGCTTTGCGTATTTGAGTCAGAGAGGAAAGTACCCCGATGATCCCGACAAACCCAATCAAGATGCCTACTGCATCAAGCACAACTTTGCCAATCAAATGGAAGACGCCTTCTTTGGTGTCTTTGATGGACACGGCAAGGATGGGCACGGCTGTGCTCAATTCACTCGTACGCATCTTCCCGCCTTGGTAGAACGCTTCATTGAAAAAGGAAAGTCCAAAGTCAACGCCCCTCCCAACGCGGACTTGTCACGAGAACAAACCCATGCCGCACTCACCAAAGCTCACATTGAATGCAACAAGCACTTGCACAAAAACACACACATTGACGACTCCTTGTCGGGGACCACCGCCATTTCAGCCTATATTCACGGAAAACGAAACAGAATCACCATTGCCAATGTCGGTGACAGTCGAGCCGTATTGGGACAGGAAGTCATGATTCAGGGCACCAAGTCACTCAAGGCCCTACCACTCTCCAGAGATCAAACGCCCTATCGAAAGGATGAACGAAAGAGAATTAGACAAACCGGGGCACGCATTTTGTCGCTCGATCAGTTGGAAGGACTCGAACCAATACCCGATGAAGAATCCGATGGAGAAGGGGATTTGGTGCTGGGAGAAGAACTCGACGAGGGCGGCGATCCTCCTCGTGTCTGGAGTCCCAATGGAGATTATCCCGGTACTGCCTTTACTCGGTCCGTGGGAGATGCCATGGCGGAAGAGCTAGGTGTCTTTGCAGAACCAGAATTACTCACCCGAGAAATCATGCCACAGGACAAAATGATAGTGCTGGCATCTGATGGTGTATTTGAGTTCTTGACCAATCAAAGTGTCGTCGATATTTGCGCCAAATTCGCTGATCCATTGGAGGCATGCCGTGCCGTCGTGGCAGAATCCTATGAGTTGTGGCTCCAGTACGAGTTGCGTACGGACGATATCACCATCATTTGCATCTTTGTCGATAATGTCGATTCAGCAGTGGCAAGTCGAAATAACGCCATGGGTACTTCGTCGCGAGGAGGTTCGCAGAGCCAAGAGACGGCACCCGAGGCCGACGTCGACCCGCTGCTGCCCGCGGGTGGATTAAGGCCAGTGCGAAAGACCATGACCAAGGAAAAGTCCAAGGCGATTGAGAAACTGAAAAAGCAGGGAGTTGGAGTGATGGATGTCAGTCCCGATATCGACATTGATCTGACCACGCTGTACACGGAAAAATCAGATGCAGAGAAAAAGCGTATTTCAAATGCAATCAAGGCTTCTGTCATGTTCCGAAATATTACCGAGGAACAACGCGAAATGATTTTTGGTGTCATGGAGTCTGTAAATGTAAAGGCAGATACGTGGGTTATCAAGCAAGGGACTGTTGGAGATCGATTCTACATTATTGATGAAGGACGGTTTGAAGTACGAATTGTGCCGGATGACGAAGAGGACACTGATGGCAACGGTGGGCACACCGTGCACGTTTATGAAGGGTCAGTGGCCAAAAACGCACACCCTTGTTTTGGAGAGCTTGCATTGATGTACTCCGCACCACGTTCAGCGTCTATTATTGCCCAAACGGATGGTCACCTGTGGGCCCTTCACCGATTGGCCTTTCGACAAGTGCTGGCACAGTCCCAAGACACCCGACAGGAACTCAAGAAGAGTCTGGGCAAAATCCCCGCCTTTAAAAGGCTGGATACTCATGGTATTGACAAGATTGCAGCGGCAATGGATGAGGCTACTTTTGGGCGTGGAGAAAATATTATTGAACAAGGGAAGAGTTGTAGTAGTTTCTTTGTGGTGGCAAGCGGTCAATGTGGTAAGTTTCGCAATTGTTTTGAGTTGGAAGTTCTTTGTTGGTCCTTGTTTCCAAGCTCAAGAGACTGCTCCCATCTTTGCTTGTCCGCAGAACTTGTGAAACGCGTGAATGGAAAAGTCCAGCACTCTACCTGTAAAGCAGGCGATTGGTTCGGAGACGAAGCACTCAAGGGGGCTGGAGCAAGGTACAGTTCAACGTGCGTTGCTCTGCAAACAACATCTTGCTGGCAGATGGATGCTGCTTCAATGCAAAAGATTGTGATGCCGTTGATCATGTAGCTAGCAAGCGTCGGATGTCAAATATTTCTATGTAATACCGGTAGCACTCTTGGCAGATAGAAGATGCCAATTTGAGGGCTCGTTTGCACCATGGTTATCCGAGTATAATATGAACAATGAATAATAATGGAGCTTCTTGATGTTAGACCAAAACAGGTGCCTTGATACTACAGTAGCATTTCTCACCGTTTGCCCTTACACCTATCGGATTCGACGAGGAAAGCCTATGCAAGCTTTGCTTGACAACCCTTCGTAACAACCGAGGCCAATCGTTTCCAAAATTGCAAAGTCTAGCTAGATAGCTACAGTAGCCAGGTATGAGACAGTATGTCATACCGGTACCTCTGGAAGAGGGCGCTTTTGAGACTTCTGGCCTTCTGGGCAGCCAGGATTCTAGAGGCCAAGTCTGCCAGCATGTGAAATTACTACTGGCTTATGCGTTCAAGTCACCAGCCTAATCATCAAAGTTGGGACGACAAGGAAACATCTATAGAGAGCCAAGTTGTAGTGAAAGAAAATCCTTGCTTCTGTCTCTAGGTCTACTCAAAACTACAAAGCAGTCGGGAGCAGAGTTTTTGTAGCTTCTTGAGAGTAAATTGTTTTCTGATACCGTGGCTAAAGCTCACTCTCAACCTTTGGGGGGATGCCTAATCTAGGAATTTCTCTGAAAGGGCAGAGATTCATGGCAACGTCTAATCCGGCTTCTGTGGCTCGAGCAGCTGCTTCCTCCTGAAAGGGAAATCAAGAGGTACATTGTTAGAACCACAAAGGAACCTGAATTCCTGACACCGTCCGTGGTACCGGTACGGTATATGTTGCTTATTACATACATTGATCACTCCAATTTGCAACCATACACTCTTTGCTTTAATCTCTATTGCTTCGTCCACAATAGGGCCTGCTGCTTCGCTGTTTCGAAATACATCCACCATGTCCACCGGCTCCTGGATATCCTTCAGGTTCCCAACGACGTCTTGGCCCAGGATTTGTTTGCCTGCCTGCGCAGGATTGACGGGGATCACATTGTATCCATGGTCCAGTAGGAACTCCATAACATGATGGCTATCTCGGTGCGGCTTTGGTGATGCTCCAACGAGCGCAATGGTCTTGGTTTCGGTCAAGATCTTGGTTATGGTTGCATCGTTGTTTTGAAAGGCGCTAGTCGTCGACATTGCCAGCAAGGAGAGTCGCCACAGTGATGATTTCATTGACGTCGACCGTAGGGATGACAAACGCTGCATTCAATCCAAAGTGAATGGAAGAGGGGAGGCCAGGGAGTCAATCTTTGCAAGGTTGGTACAACGCAAACAACCAAGCGATGTTGCCTTGCCAAAAGGGTTACGTGTTATGTATCTTTCTAGCACAAAAATATTGCTGTTTTGAGCTACAGCACCCGCAACTAGTCTGCAGGCCTTGGAGGATCTTTCGAATCGAATCGAACGATTCAATCTTTGAGATTTTTCGCCCCTCTTTGGAAAAGGGGTTTAGAGTAGGGAAATTATCTACGGAAGCCAGCCGGGGCCAGGCTTAAGCAAAGAACAGTCGAAATTCAGGACTAGGTTCTGAGGGATCAGGGGCAAGAAATTGAGGACCATTACGGGGGGCAAAGGGTTTGGCTTTGCGGGATCCACGGAGACATAAATGGGTAGCTTTCACAAGGGCAATTGAGATACGGGTCTGCATGAAGAACATCATTTGAGAGTAGGAAAATTGAGTTTTGGAGGCAGTAGCAGAAGCAAGGCGTTGTAAGAGAGTCTTGGCTTGAGGGGCAAGCATGCCATCCACTGAAACAACAAAGGGGTGGAAGGAAGCGCGATTGGACTCGCACGCGTCTTTATATTTGGAAATTTTGTCGCGTTCTTGTTGGGTTAAAACTTTGATAGGATCTTTGTTGCGGTAAGAGGCACAGTCCAAATCAGTGACGCGGACCTTATCTTTTGATTTGTTCGCCTTGCAGAAGATGCCCAACAAGAAGCACCTTCGAAAGAAGCAACAGCACGAGGCATCTCTGCATAGCTAGAACGACACAGCCTTCTTTTAAGACAGCAGCGTTCGATTTTTAGTGTTGCTGGGTGCAGGGCACGGCGAGCATGATGCGCCCGAGACATGGTCGAAGGAAGAAAAGAAGAGGAGATTGGAAGGATACCAAAGAAGACTTCGAATGACTCTCGATGGCCTGGGCTTTACAGGTACCGGTGCCCTTGGTGACACCTAATAGCTCTGGACCTGAAGGATGAATAAGAGCTGACCACAGACATGCCGGGATCTGATGACAGGAGTCCTCAAAACCTGATGCATTTGCCGCACTGGCCTGTGAAACATGAGGACCTTTCAGCAAACCCTGTAGCATGGTTGTCTCATGATTTGACGACGATGCTTTTTTGAGAATATCCGAGCTTGATTCAACCATGCCATTGTTGCTCACTTGGATCAAATATGATGTGAATCAGTAGAAGACTTGTGACTTGTGCTCTCCAGCGGAAGCAAATAGTGTCTTCAAAGTTCTGCTGGAAGTAGTCCAATCTATCTGTACAGGTTGACAAATACATGAGCCAACTGGATCAGGTGTTGAGGAGAAGCAAAAAAGGCAAATCAGGAAGCAACCTTCCATTCATCAGTTAGCAGTTCAAGATGTGGTGAAGGAATTCTCCGCTGTGCCAAATGCGATACAGCTGGCCTCTGTGGTGAGGGCTGGAACGGGTTGTCTTTCTTGGGCCGTTTATTATTTGCTGGGACATACTTTGGTACTCCGGTCACAAAGAGAATTGCAAGAAACTCAAACAACAATCGTCATGCCAGCCCTGATCAACGCTACTTTGACTGGCTGGTTGCCTCCTTTGCTTCGAGATATATGCTTACTATGCCCCTACTCGAGTAAAGCATTGGAAGAGATCGAAACAGGCTCCACACTAGTGGGTGTCGTTGCAACTAGATGGCCAACGTGTTCCATGAAAGCCTTGTGGATTTCCAATCCATGTTGTTCCTTCCAATGCCCCAACAAGGGCTGCCTGGCCTGCCTAGCACTCTTCAACTTTGAAGGCACACTGTACGGTGCTAGTACGGCGACGAGGACGAATCTTGGGATAGACGACGGTAACAGACCAAGCGACAGGCAAGACTTGCCTTTAGGTGGTACGGTACCTGGTACCGGTACCAGGTACCGGTACCGGTTTTATCACGAGAAGTGTGGGAACTGCGTGAAATCGAGTTTCCAAGACGCTCAAGATGAAGAGGCTCCCCAGTCATAGTCATAGATGGTCAAGAGCCGTTCAGTTAGTTGTACAGTATCGACACGACTGTCACTCGACTTGACTCGTTGACACGCTGCGAATCTTTTTCGCTTCTGACTGCATGACTGTATGAAGCTCTGCATGATACGGTTTTCACGCCGAAGGAATTTTGAAGGCGAAGGGACGAATCCACGAAAAACAAAGAGGCTATGGCACCACAATATGTTACTAGTTACAGAAGATTCAGTTGTATTCGTACGTCGTTGCTACAGTAGTCAGCATGGGCTGGAAGCAGGACAAACCCTCAAAACCACCATTTGTAGAGAGCTCAAGATGCTTTGGCAACGACTCAGCGCATCTTCGAGTGTCAATATATGATTGCTTGCGTTTAGATGAAGCTGAGATGCAGGTAAAAGCAATATGTGAGCGGCATGCTACCATCATGAATCATGATGCCGTCGTGATGTGCGTGACGGCCATTCCTGGACTTACCGGTCCGGGTAGTCAGCGCATCTTCGAGTGTCGATACATGATTGCTTGCGTTTAGAGGGTTTAGTTGAAACGGGAGGGAAAGTTGCACATCGCACGGTGAAGACGAAAGATCGCTTTGAAATCTTTCTGGTTCAGCAATGCCTTGCTCCCGTGTTTGAGTTCAAAAATTTTCTGCAATGCTCTGCGATGAGTGTCAGACAATGGGGTCTTCAGGAATTTGGTCACATCCGACTTCCCGAGGTATTGTTTGATGGCCGATGAGAGTTTGAGGTACTGGCGTCGCTTCAAGTCAAACTTTTCTTCTAGTTCTTCGATCGAGTGGATATAGTCCACATGTCGACCCCAACCCCAGTGGGTGCGTACTTGGTCATCCCAAATGCATTTGGCCAGCTTCTTATACTCGTCCTTGAAGCTTGTTCCGTTCTTCTCGGCGACGCTAGAAAGAAAAACAGTTTTTCTGTCCTCCACAGTCAAGAAGCGGGGGAAAAGGGCGGCAAGAGTCCCTTCCATTCGGAGTATTTCGACAAACCCCCTGCCCAAGTGTCGCAGAGCACGTCGATTGTACAGGTCCTGCAATCCTGGTAGCTGCAATTTTCGCTTGAATACGGCGCGACCCAGCTTTGAAATACCTGTACCAGCCAAATCACAAAGGAAATCCTCGTGATTGCCGGTGCCGAAACCTTTCGCAAACAAAAACTCATAGTCACGGACAACCATTTGGACTTTGGATTGGATTTTTTCCTCCTTTGCAGTTGACGGGGCCGTCAGCAAGCTGCCAAGAATATCCATCGAGAGCTTGTTGCTGAACCGAAAAATTCCACTCCACTCGTTCCAATCACCGGCAAGTATGATATCACGATGAGCGTGGTCTTCAAGCAGTGCACGGAGGCGCTCCAAAACTGGTTCCCCCATTTCGCGCTTTCTTTTTGCTCTCTGGCCGTCCCTTTCAGCGGCGAGCTCGTCCTTTTTAGCTTTGAGATTTGCCAGGTCTTCCACAGCCGTGATGTAGGCGTCCACCAGTTCCTCCGCCTTGTCGCCCTCATTTTGCTGGTTGTCGATTTCTTCAAAGAGGCTTGCAAACGCCTGTTTCTGTTTCTCTTGGTCCTGTTTGTAGGACACCATGATTTGACGAACTCGCACACCTCCCACAAGCGGACCCACGGCTTCACCCGTACTATGCTCTTTGACGAGATCTGGGAGCATTCTTCTAGAGTAATCGTTGGTCACAAGCCTCTCGTGTGGCACTCTGGGTCTCTCCCATCGTCCAGCGACAATGGCTTTGCTCGTTGTCATCTCCGTGAGGCAGGTGCTGCAGAGACACAATCCAAAGGGAAGAAGGTGGTTGTATGAGGGCCTGCCGGACTTGTGCGTCACGACGTTCAAGTCGTAACACTGGTCCGTGCGCTCGCATTGAGTTGCATTGAGAAGACGGAGCAGTCGCGCTGTGGAAGGCGTGTGAATGGAGCGCGCTTGAACTGTTTCCACAATGGTCGTGATAGCCTTCTTCCTGCGGTGGTCAGATGAGAAAACAGCCGCTCGGATGACCATCGTCGGTGTCGCTAGGATCGCGTTTCGACAAGTTTTGTTGCACATCGAGAGGGAAAGCAGTACTCGCGGAGATGACACGAACGAAAGAACGTTGGAGACGACCTCTGGAGGCAACAAGTCGAGAAAGGGCAAAGGCGGCTCTTCTTCGCGTTTCTTCTTTCTTTCGCGTTCCGCTTCCTTCTTTCGCTCCTCGGCTTCTTCAAACTCGTCACGCTCCAGCTGGTCAATGGCATCGTCGTAGTCGAGGATGATGGAATCGTCGAAGACGCGCTTGCGAGTTCGTCGACTCATCCTTGGAGGCGCTTCGATGATCGTCGTAGTCATCGTCTTTCTTCTTCTTGTTACAGGCGACAGTAGTACTGTACTCAACAAAAGCAAGTGGATCACAAGACCGACAGCGACAGAACACTCGATAGCTTGGCAAAGCAATGGAGCAAATGGAGCAAAGGGCGTCGCGTCTTGATGCGTCTCCCAAAAAGTGAGGTCAGTCGAGTGCCCAAACGGTTCCTTCAATGGATTGAGTCGAGTGAGTCGACTGCGGCTCATGCTCCACTTCCTTTTCGTTTCTGTGATTTTCATTTGAAGATCAAAATGGGGACATGCAAGAGACAACCTTTGCGTTTTAAATTTGATGTTTTTAAAAGCGAGGATCTTTGATCAAACTACTAGGCTTCCTTGCCAACGCAAACGCGCTCATGTATCTTTCCCCCTTGCTTCGGCTTCCCCACCGATGACCAATCACTCGAAGAAACAGCAGCACTGGACTTGACCCAGCCAATGACCTGACGAAGGAAAGACATTTGATTGTACGCATTTGGGAAGCCCTGTAGCGATTGGTTTGCAATGCAGTTGTTTTGCGGCAAACAGCATCTCTGGAAGCCACCAGCCACCGGTAGTGCAGTACAACTATGCACAGCTACAGCTACCAACATTCCCTACACTCAAACTACTACATGTAGCTAGAGGCGCTCTACAGTGGAACACTTTGCTGGCTGGGACAAGCTTCAACTCATTCGTAGCAACCGATATCGCAAGCGGCAAACTCTGAACGGTTTCCCTCGCGCAAAGCTACTGCTTCCATTGCAATCTGCCTGTATGGATATCTGGTACGACACCACGCTGTATGTCCCCGCTCTGGTACTGGTACCATACGAACTTCTAAGGTGCCGGTACCGGTAATGGTCGTCTTGGAAGGAGGTTGGTCGCACGACCATCAGCCGTCTGGATCTCTCGAATCTTTACGGTATTTTGCGTGGGAAGCCGGTGCGTCTGTCCGTCGTTTGTTGGATCTTTTGGCAAAGATTTGTGGCCCCCACGTCAACAACTGATGCCAACGGGTGGCAAGTGGCACCTCCATCAACCCTCATTAGGCAAAGTGGAAACCCTGCCAAGCGACCTTCTCACCAATTAATTACAACAGCTTGGGAGCGTCTCGTTTGAAAGGAAATCGAAGTAGCTACCCCCTTGGTCAACAATGATGGGATCAAAGCAGATGAGCACAGTCTGGTTGGTAGCCTTGGCGCTCAGTTCGGCAAGTGCCTTCCAACCGCTCGTTTCTCCCACGCAACGGCGCCACCAAGGACTGCAACAACCTGTTCATCCTGGTTCTTTATCTAGAACTACACGAGCTGTTTGGTCTCGTCAGCCGTCTCTTTTTCAAGCTTCTCCCGTTCAAGATGACGAAGATGATCGGGCAGCCGCTTCCAGCGAGACCAAGCAGAAGACCAGACTGTCGAGATTCCGCCAGCGTGTCTCTAAATTTTTGAAGAAGAAACTAGTAGTGGCAGTCTTTGTCGGATCTTCCATTGCAGGTATCTGGACACCCCGACCTGCTGAGGCATCTGCTCCTGTCATGGCAGTACCCAAGGCGGAGCAAAGAGATCCCGCCACCGATGCCTTGCTCAACCATGATCGCAAAATGGTGGTGAAACAGCAACAAGAGTTGCAAGAGATGAATAAAAGGGCTCGTGAGATTGAAGCCAGTGAAGGAACCGCTGCTCGGAGTAAGTTTGAAAAGGAATACAAAGCACAAAAGGAGAAGGAAGCTCAGGATCGTATCGATGCAGTAACCCAACTCAAACGAGACTTGCTGGATCAGGGCATGGATCCGTTCACTACCATTGAAGGACAACGACAAGTTATCTTGGCAGAGAAGGGAGTTGACTTAGGAAAGGTACCTGGAACTATGATGTATTTGCAAAAACAACTAGAAGGTGGAAAGAAGATTGAAAAGAGTCTGCTGTACAAACAGGCTCCCAATCGACGCGTGGTCAAGGCAATGGTAGAGGATATGAAAAACAAAGGTCAAGATCCATTAGCATACTTTGATGATCATCAAGAACAGACACAAACAATCATGGCCATGACCCCTGTTGCTGCTGCACAATTGGCACAAAAGTACCAGGCCAACTTGGAACAATACGACAAATCAATGTGCCAAGGAGAGAAATGAGTGTCAAGGAAAAGATGGAAAAGGCAGGTGCAAACAAATCAAAGGACAAGGAACAACAGAAGAAGGAAAAGGAGGAACAGAAGCGAGCCAAGGCAGAAGCCAGGCCAAGCTGCTGCTGAAAAGAAGGCTGCCAAAGAAGAAGCCAAGGCTGCCAGAGAAGCGCAAAAGAAGGAAAAAGAGGAAGCCAAGTAGCCAAAAAGGCTGCTGTTGCCGCCGCTGCAGTAGCTGTTTCAGGTGTCGAGACAACCGCCCAGTCGGTGGTTGGTTCCGCCGTAGAGGCTGCGACGCCATCCTCCGACGGTGGAGGTGCCGGGATTGCTGGCGACGCCGATACAGCCACAGCAGCTGAATCTACAACAGAAGAAGAAACACCAGTGTGCACCCCAGCGGCAAAGAAGTCAAAGAAAGCCAATACGGTCAAAATTGGAGGTGCCGAGATTCCTGTCTTACCACTTGCTGGAGTTGGCGTTGTGGCTGTCGGAGGCGGTGGTTATGCATTTAAAATTATGCAAGACAGAGCCGCTCTTGCTGAAGAAGAGCGAGAAAAACAATTCCGCCTATTAATGGGAATGGATGAAGATGAGGACACACAAAATAGCCCTGGATCCGCACCAGCTCTAGAAGTGGTAGACGATGGGCTTGGCGGCTTGGATTCCACGGACAAAACTGAGGCGCCACCCGAACCAACGCCAATGCCGGCGCCAAAGAAGAAACGACGAGGATTCTTTGGAAAGAAGAACAAGAACAGCCGGGAGACTGACTTGGCAGTGTTGGTCTCAGAAGGGGCAACAGCACCACAATTCGCTGGTTTGCTGGCGAAAATTCTGACATATGGAGCACCCGGCCGCTTCCCAAGCGTCGATCGTCTCCCGGGTGACATGCCTTTTCAAGAGTTTGAATTGGAAGCTGCCAAACAAAGGCTGACAGATTCCCGTGAAGAGGCGGGGATAGCCCTGGAAGAATCGGCTGAAGTGTTTGCCAACGTTGTCAACTGCATGTTGATTGACATTGTAGACTTGGCATCGTCCACCTTGAAAGCTAAGGACGATAAGGTTACTGTCGACGGTATTGGTGTTGTGATTGACTTTATGAATCTCTCTTCTT